GGGGGGGTTGGTGTAAGGGATGATTGTGCAATCTAACAAACATACGTGGAAGGATATATCTTTCTTTCATCAGCAAACTCTAACAGTCTAATGTGAACTTAGAACAACGCTGCTGAGTTTGGAAGATGTTGAACGTTGTACCCCTGTTTTGCAGCATGCATTACCTAAATTATCGTGTGTGTGTGTGTGTGTGTGTGTCATTATATAACATTTAAAGTTGTTGTATGGATCATTTTTACTGGTTGCTTGTGTGTGAGTCAGTTTTAGCACAGTAAATATACCTGCCCCCTTATCAACTAAGATGCAGGACCCTGCAAATAAAACCATCCAATGGTAAGATATTCTCAGCATTTTAAGAAAATAAAATGCTGGAAATGATGTTAATCAAATATGTACTTCACAGTTGCATGCAGCTGAGAGCCTCATATCACTTGGGTCTTCAGAAAGCTTTTTAAGTTAAAGATTGATTTTTTTGTTGACACCCATATCACCCTAATCCAATTATAGGATGTCACTTGAATGACGAATCGGGCGTGTGCATCTACGTATATGAAGGCTGGGTCTTGCAATGAACCACTGAGGGTCTCGAGGCATCCTTAACACATCAGATACAGTAGAGTTTCATGTGCTGAGTACAGAAAGGACATAAAAAATCACAATGAGCTCATCTAAAGGTGAGAAGTTTGTTTTTGATTGCACGCATGTAGTTCCCTTAAATGCACTAATTTAATAGTTTTTACTAAATCGTGCATTTCAGTCTGATCGTGTAATACTGTAACTACGAGAACTGTGCGCGTGCAAAAGTTTCGCCTTATAGATGCAGGACAAAACTGCAGGTATACAGGGTTGGGAATGGCAATATTTCGAGTGGTCGATGAATGATGCATCGTATAAAAACTATTGCATACGTTGCAGGAATTGAAACTCTCAGCTCTTTCATCTTGGATGCTAAATAAAGTTAAAAAAAAAACATTAAACAAAAGCAAGAAATTTGAGGTTTTTCGTAGTATTTCAGTATATTTCGTCATGTTTTACAGAATTAAAAAAAATTTGTAGTAGCCTATATAAACTTGTTTTGCTCTATACTTAAAAAAAAAACATAAAAACAAAATGCAAAACAATAGGGAACAAAATGAAACAATAAAAACAGTAGTGTTGCATAACTGCGTTTTTTTGCATAGTGTTTTAGTCCTATATCATGTGGAGTAGTTTCTGTGGTTAATAAATTAAAATGAATAATTGATTGAACATTGGTTTATTTTATCATATTGCTTTAGCTGTTTTTGCTTATTTAGTAACATGCATACTTTTATATGTATCTCACAGAATATATGAATGGCCATGTCCACCTGGAAGAATCAGACATGTATGAGTCAGATGGCAAGCTGTTCCTTACTGAGGCTTTCAATGTGATTATGGAGGAGATACTTCACAAAGGAACTGACTTGAAGGAGAAGGTTAAGTCTTTCAAGAATTTATCATCCCATTTAACAACTTCTGCATCTTCCTATCTTATCTTGTATCTCGGGAGATCAACTGCATGTCTTTCCGTTCACAGGTGTGTGAGTGGAAAGATCCCGATCAGCTGAGAGCTCTTCTGGACCTTGATCTCAGAGAGCATGGAGAATCTCACAAGCAGTTACTGCAGAGGGTTCGAGATGTGGCCAGATACAGTGTTAAAACCTGTATGTTGCATGTGCTGGGATCGAATCCCACAAATTATTCATATTAGCGGATGTCCTATATGTTTTTTTCAGTGTTTTATTCTGAAATTATTACATTTGTTCCTCCTAAATCTTGAATATGTGGTTACATCCTGGTCCAGAGCCTTTTCTCGTTCACAGGTCATCCTCGGTTCTTCAATCAGCTGTTTGCTGGCATGGACTACCATGCACTGACAGGACGGCTCCTCACTGAAACCCTCAACACCAGCCAGTATGTGTGAATGAACTTCCACATAGACATTTTCAGTTGTTCATGTTAATGTGTTACAGTGAATGTGCCTTAAGGTTCTCAGATGGGTGCTGTAAAAGGGTCCGTATGGCGTTTTATTAACTGAGGGGTTCAAAAGTGTTAAACTTTTGAGTAAATTGTAAGCTGTTACACTGTTGCTGAAGTGTTCCATTAAACTCTGTTGTCATAGTAATAAGTAACTTATCAGAGCACTTGAAGCTATCAGATGACACCGTTTGATAACAGCATGGAGCCACTGGTTTCATATCGACGATCTAAAAACTGTTGATTAGAAATTGATGAAATTAGGATCTGACATTTTTAGATAATGCAAAGAGTGTTGTTATCGTTAACTAAAACTAAAAATGTTTTTGAAAAATTACATGCACTATATAAATTTGAAAAAATAAAAGATGAAATTGCTACAGATGAAAACAGAAAATATAAAAATAAAACAATTCTAAAAAAAAAAAAATTCTAAAAATGTACTCACCTTCAGGCTATCAAAGATGTAGATCAGTTTGTTTCTTCATCAGAACAGATTTGGAGAAATTTAGCATTACATCACTTGCTCACCAGTGGATCCTCTGCAGTGAATGGGTGCCGTCAGAATGAGAGTCCAAACAGCTGATAAAAACATCACAAGAATCCAGTCTATCAATGAATGTCTTGTGTAGTGAAAAGCGGCATGTTTGCAAGAAACAAATCCATCATTACATCAATAACAAACATGCAGCTTTTCGCTTCACAAGAAGATAATTGATAGACTGGAATCATGTGAATTACCTTTCAGCTGTTTGGACTTTCTTTCTGATGGCACCCATTCACTGCAGAGGATCTACTGGTGAGCAAGTGATGTAGCTAAATTTCTCCAATATGTTCCCCAAATCTATTCCTTTAATAAATACTATAAATACATGCACACATCATGACTGATCCATCTGCAACATACTCAGTGTGAAGTTTTTACAGATACACCTATGAAGTGGCTCCGGTGTTTGTCCTGATGGAGGAGGAAGTGCTCTGTAAGCTTCGCTCTCTGGTTGGCTGGTCAGAAGGAGATGGGATATTTTGTCCAGGGGGTTCAATGTCCAACATGTATGCCATGAACATCGCACGGTACTGGGCCTTCCCTCAAGTGAAGACACAAGGCTTGTGGGCCACACCACGGATGGCTATATTTACATCACAACAGGCAAAAAGACGAGAGCTACTTGTTCTAATCTTAGATTTAAAAGAGCGTATAATGCAGTATTATTAAAACGGTACCATACATTTTTTTTTTTAGAGTCATTACTCAATGAAAAAAGCAGCTGCTTTCCTTGGTATCGGAACGGACAATGTTTTCATTGTACAGGTGGATGAGAGGTACAGGAACTTATCTCTAACACATTTTGGAAAACCAGTGTTTCACTTTAAATTGTTTAAAATGTTTTTTTGTTCTCCTACAGCGGCAGCATGAGACCAGAGGACCTGGAGGTGAAAATCGTGCAGGCAAAATCACAAGTAAATATTTAAATTATATGAGTAAGATGATTTTTTGGGGGGAAAATAGTCTTTTATGCTCGCCACTGCTGCTTTTATTTAATAAAAACAGTAAAAATATTACGTAATATTGTGAAATATTATTATAATTAAAAATATTTTTTTCTATTTTAATATACTAAAATGTTTATTCATGTGATGCGAAGCTGAAATTTCAGTGTCACATGATGCTTCAGAAATCACTCATGCTGAAAACAGTTGTGCTGATTAATATTTTTGTGGAAACCATGATACATTTTTTCAGGATTAATAGAAAGTAAAGTTGTAAAACATTATAAATATTAACTTTCATTTTTGATCAATTCAAGGCATCAATATACTAAAATGTTTATTCATGTGATGCGAAGCTGAAATTTCAGTGTCACATGATGCTTCAGAAATCACTCATGCTGAAAACAGTTGTGCTGATTAATATTTTTGTGGAAACCATGATACATTTTTTCAGGATTAATAGAAAGTAAAGTTGTAAAACATTATAAATATTAACTTTCATTTTTGATCAATTCAAGGCATCCTTGCAGACCCCTGATTCATTTTTGAATGGTAGTGTATATCATTTTATAATGAGCTAATATGGTAAATTTAAAGAAGTTTGTATAAGTGAGAACTTAGTTCACTTAAAAATTATGATTTATTATCTCATTCCAAATGCATTTGAATCTCTTCCTTTCATGGAACACAAAAGGAAGTATTTTGCAGAATGTTCAAGCTGTTTTTTTGGACAAAGCGGATAATAGCCAGAAAGTGTTCTAAAGACATCTGATTGTCTGCTTTCATGTATGGAAAAGAGCAGCGTGAACATTAGACAAAACATCTCCTTTTGTGGTCTATGGAAATAAAAGGTCATACAGGTTTGAAAAGACATAAGGGTGATAAATCACTTTTTTTTGCATGAAATATCCAAGGGCCAAAAGTTAATGGTGTTTTGGCCATTGTCTCTGTCTCTCCTTTAGGATGCTGTCCCGTTTTTCGTTAATGCCACAGCGGGTACCACAGTGCAGGGAGCCTTTGATCCTTTGAACCGCATAGCTGAAATAAGCGAAAGAAATGGCATGTGGATGCACGTTGACGTAAGTACACCACGTTTACCTTATGTAACAGCATTGTGCAACACATCTATATGCATGTGGCCCCCACTTTAAAAGTATACAGTTGTTTGCAGAATTTCACCCGTTTCTAACTGTTACAATCTGGATCTCTCTTTTTTACAGGCCGCATGGGGAGGAAGCGTGCTGTTTTCCAAAAAACATAAACATCTGGTTGCAGGAATAGAAAGGTTTGAACACTGTGATCTGGTTAGAGGAGTAGCCCATGTTTGACTATATCATTTAATGTTTTTTTTTTTACACTCAGAGCAAACTCTGTGACTTGGAACCCTCACAAAATGCTTCTAGCGGGATTGCAGTGCTCTGTGGTTTTGTTCAGAGACACCACGGTATGAATGCTTATGGAATGTAGCAATCCATCTATCTTTTCTTTTACTTCTAACCCCGTGCAAGTCAGTTCATGCAATGTTTTTGCTTATTAGTCAAGTGAATAAATTATATGAGTAAGATGATTTTTTGGGGGGAAAATAGTCTTTTATGCTCGCCACTGCTGCTTTTATTTAATAAAAACAGTAAAAATATTACGTAATATTGTGAAATATTATTATAATTAAAAATATTTTTTTCTATTTTAATATACTAAAATGTTTATTCATGTGATGCGAAGCTGAAATTTCAGTGTCACATGATGCTTCAGAAATCACTCATGCTGAAAACAGTTGTGCTGATTAATATTTTTGTGGAAACCATGATACATTTTTTCAGGATTAATAGAAAGTAAAGTTGTAAAACATTATAAATATTAACTTTCATTTTTGATCAATTCAAGGCATTCTTGCAGACCCCTGATTCATTTTTGAATGGTAGTGTATATCATTTTATAATGAGCTAATATGGTAAATTTAAAGAAGTTTGTATAAGTGAGAACTTAGTTCACTTAAAAATTATGATTTATTATCTCATTCCAAATGCATTTGAATCTCTTCCTTTCATGGAACACAAAAGGAAGTATTTTGCAGAATGTTCAAGCTGTTTTTTTGGACAAAGCGGATAATAGCCAGAAAGTGTTCTAAAGACATCTGATTGTCTGCTTTCATGTATGGAAAAGAGCAGCGTGAACATTAGACAAAACATCTCCTTTTGTGTTCTATGGAAATAAAAGGTCATACAGGTTTGAAAAGACATAAGGGTGATAAATCACTTTTTTTTGCATGAAATATCCAAGGGCCAAAAGTTAATGGTGTTTTGGCCATTGTCTCTGTCTCTCCTTTAGGATGCTGTCCCGTTTTTCGTTAATGCCACAGCGGGTACCACAGTGCAGGGAGCCTTTGATCCTTTGAACCGCATAGCTGAAATAAGCGAAAGAAATGGCATGTGGATGCACGTTGACGTAAGTACACCACGTTTACCTTATGTAACAGCATTGTGCAACACATCTATATGCATGTGGCCCCCACTTTAAAAGTATACAGTTGTTTGCAGAATTTCACCCGTTTCTAACTGTTACAATCTGGATCTCTCTTTTTTACAGGCCGCATGGGGAGGAAGCGTGCTGTTTTCCAAAAAACATAAACATCTGGTTGCAGGAATAGAAAGGTTTGAACACTGTGATCTGGTTAGAGGAGTAGCCCATGTTTGACTATATCATTTAATGTTTTTTTTTTTACACTCAGAGCAAACTCTGTGACTTGGAACCCTCACAAAATGCTTCTAGCGGGATTGCAGTGCTCTGTGGTTTTGTTCAGAGACACCACGGTATGAATGCTTATGGAATGTAGCAATCCATCTATCTTTTCTTTTACTTCTAACCCCGTGCAAGTCAGTTCATGCAATGTTTTTGCTTATTAGTCAAGTGAACGTATTATATTGACTTGCCCACAAGTGCAACTCGCTGCTCCTAATTTTATCTCCCCCATCTCAATCTGTAGAATCTGTTAATGGACTGTCACAGTGCTAAGGCAACCTACTTATTCCAGCAAGACAAGTTCTACGATACAAGTCTAGACACGGGAGACAAGTCCATCCAGTGTGGCCGCAAGGTGGATTGTTTGAAGCTGTGGTTAATGTGGAAGGCAATAGGAACACATGGTCTTTCAGAGCGAGTGGAGAAGGCCTTTGCCCTTTCAAGGTATTTGATGCATCTTTTAGATGTTGTTGTTGTTGTTGATTAATATACTATCAATCTTTTTAATGTTGCATTTTGTTAAACACTATTGACTTGTATCACTAAATGCATTGCAGTATATTATTAGATTTTAAATAACTGTTTTCTGTTTGAACATATTCTAAAATGTAATTTATTTCTGTGATGCAAAGCTGCATATTCAGCATCATTATTCCAGTCTTCCTTCAGATATCATTTTGATATGCTGATTTCCACGAAACAGTTATTATTATTGTCAGTGCTGAGCACAGTTTGGTGCTTAATATTTTAAACCTTAATATACCGTTACTGTATTACAGTATTATACTTATTTATTTTAATAATCTATTATTTATGTCTGCACTAGGTATTTAGATGAAGAAATGGAGAAAAGAGACAATTTCAAGTTGGTCTGTAAGGTACAGTGTTGCACTGTATACAAACCTGAAGTAGTATACTTATGTTTACTATGCTACATTTCTGTGCTTTCACATTTGTTTTAAATCAAGTGTTAAAGTTAATAGTAGTTCAATTTAAATGATTAGCCTATTATAAATTTCACTCTTGGGAGCAAGCAAAGCTACATTTATTTTTGTATGTGTAAACACATTTGTGGTTCAGGCTCGCAGCGTTTCGAATTTTTTAGAAAGTCATATGAATCTGTGCAATTATGTCTTGTGCCACGGCATTAATATATTTACTAAGACGTCACTAACTAACTAACTAAATAAATAAATAAAAGTGATGGCCATTGTAACAGTCATTGGGTCTGAGCGGGTTAATACTTGCTTTAATTTGCATGCATATATCTCATGGTTTCTAATAAGCACACCAAACCGCAAAGAGGTTTGATTTATTACTTATAATTACAGGCTAAATGAGTTATAATAGAGTGTATTACATAGACGCAATTGAGTTGTTCTTGTAAAGTTTGTTTTCTTTGGCTTGATTTGCTGTAGATTGCAATCTGTTTGCCATGTGATAAGACTGATGCAATTTTATTTTCTATCTCCTGGAATTAATTTAACCTCCAGGACCCTGCCGGTTGCCAAATCCCCTCACGAGCCGAACGAATGGAAATCACAATATTGTGCTTTCACATTTGTTTTAAATCAAGTGTTAAAGTTAATAGTAGTTCAATTTAAATGATTAGCCTATTTATTATAAATTTCACTCTTGGGAGCAAGCAAAGCTACATTTATTTTTGTGTGTGTAAACACATTTGTGGTTCAGGCTCGCAGCGTTTCGAATTTTTTAGAAAGTCATATGAATCTGTGCAATTATGTCTTGTGCCACGGCATTAATATATTTACTAAGACGTCACTAACTAACTAAATAAATAAATAAATAAAAGTGATGGCCATTGTAACAGTCATTGGGTCTGAGCGGGTTAATACTTGCTTTAATTTGCATGCATATATCTCATGGTTTCTAATAAGCACACCAAACCGCAAAGAAGTTTGATTTATTACTTATAATTACAGGCTAAATGAGTTATAATAGAGTGTATTACATAGACGCAATTGAGTTGTTCTTGTAAAGTTTGTTTTCTTTGGCTTGATTTGCTGTAGATTGCAATCTGTTTGCCATGTGATAAGACTGATGCAATTTTATTTTCTATCTCCTGGAATTAATTTAACCTCCAGGACCCTGCCGGTTGCCAAATCCCCTCACGAGCCGAACGAATGGAAATCACAATATACAATATTCACCCACTCACCTCGATCTATTTGTCATTGTGATCATACTATGTTAATTTTCTTTCATTGTCCAGTGGCTTCCGTGCCTCATTTTGTTCATTCATGATTTATAGTTGTGTTTATCTGGATCTTTGAGGGTGAGTTAGTCGGACTAATGCACAGGAATAAGCGATGGAAGGAAAGAGGGTGGTTGAAATAAATCTGTTTTTTATTCCAGTGAGTCCCAGAATCCGACCAACCAAATCCAAAATCAACAGGGCATAAATGCTCGGATGTATTCCTACCATTTCAGTTTGACAGAACCAATGAGAATCCACTCCACTCAGTTTCAGTTTTGACCTGGTTTGTTTCCAGATGTCATTTAGGGACTCTTGACGCCAATCTGAAGCCAAACTCTTATGGCTTAAAAACACAGCCCTATAAGCCTGCATAAACAAAAGCTTGGCAATGCAGACATGGAAAATGTCTGATTCTAGTGAATAAAAGCCATGATTTGTCCACGGTTGACAACTTCTGTTAGTGGTGGGCTAGATGTGTATTAACATCATAGACAGAGATGGATATTATCCTGGCTTTATATCCCCCCCCCCCCTTCTATTTCTAGGCTTGGGCCCCTGATGGTTGGGGCTTGTGTGGTCTCTAAACACTCTCCCTGCCCTGAGCGAAGCTCTCTGTACCCCAACACACACACACACACTCTCACCACTGCGATGTCACACCTTTCCAACAGCTCAGTGCGAGATCACATGAAATGGGTCAGTGTTTTTTTTCTCTTCTTCATTTGCATTTTCAGCATTTGTCCACATTTGTTTGAAAAAGAAGGCCTTCATTTTCCTTTTGCTTGGCGTTTCTGTGTATTAACTCTTTGTAATTCACTTCCACAGCGTGACTTGACACAAAACGTACAGAGAATTGTTTACAAGTAATGGGGTGGATCTCACAAAAGAACGTATCTGGGACATATTTCTCCCAAAATTATATTTTGCATGAAGTTAAGCCGTTTAAGGGCCATTTGGGATTTTTAAAAACATTTGAATTACGATTAAGCACATTTCACAAATTATATCTTTACCTGATTATAGATTTTATTTTACAGCATTACACTGACAAATTACTGTATTGCAATAATGAGAATGACCTTTGTGAATAATACGGTACTGTAAGTTGTGGGGAAAGATGATGTATTATTATTTTTGCATAAATTGTGTATTTTTGGGCCACTGAGACAATAATGTAAAAATTATTTAATTTGACAATTTTTGTCTCAATGATCCTAAAATACATAATTTATGGAAAAATATTAATAATAGTTTTAATAATAACAATTTTGCATAATTTATAATTACTACTACTACTACTAATAATATAAATTGTGTATTTTATCATTATGACAATGTTAATAAAAATATTTATATGAATTATGTATTTTAGGATCAGTAAGACAGTGTTAATAACGGCACAATATATGACATGATTAAACAGGTTCATATAACAGTCAGTATTATTGTTATTATTATTATTTGTATAACTACGTGTTTTAAGGATCATTAAGATGACATTGCTTATAATTATATTATTATTTGCATTAAGATGATAATGTTGTTAATAATAATATTATTTATTTATTTTAATTTATATATATATATGTGAACCTGGATCACAAAACCAGTCATAAGGATTCATTTTTCACTGAATAAATAAGCTTTCCATTGATGTATGGTTATGATAGGACACTATTTGGCCAAGATACAACCATTTTGAAAATCTGGAATCTGAGGGTGCGAAAAAAATCTAAATATTGAGAAAATCGCCTTTAAAGTTGTCCAAATGAAGTCCTTAGCAATGCATGTTACTAATCAAAAATTAAGTTTGAATATATTTACAGTAGGAAATTTACAAAATATCTTCATGGAACATGATCTTTAATTAATATCCTAATGATTTTTGGCATAAAAGAAAAATCAATAATTTTGACCCATGCAATGTATTTTTGGCTATTGCTACAAATATACCCAAGCGACTTAAGACCGGTTTTGTGGTCCAGGGTCACATATATATATATTTTATTATTATTTCATGGTAAAATGCCCATGGCATGTTCTTGACATAACTGAATAACAATGGCCTCTGAATTAATTTGACAGATCGTGAAAGTGGTAACTGGGTCACATTTGTCCGATTTCAAGCTAAATTTCCAACCCATCAGATTAGTGACTTGGGAAGTTTGTTTTTGAACAGATGTGTATGTTTATGGTTGTATTTCTACACAGGCTGGGTTGCTCGGCTGTGAAGCGGTGCTGTCCAGTATGGCACTCATGCAGGCCGGCTCCATGCCCAGCCATAAGAAGATGGGCTCTCATCTGGGCCAGGGACAGAGAGAAAACAATCACAGCCACAATCACAACCAGGACACCCACAGCCAGCACGGCCACATGGTGCTTCCCTCAGGAGTCAGCTGCCCACCACTGGTAAGGGAAAAAGACATGAATTGTGTTGGGAAAGAAAGTCATATTGGTCTGGAATTAATTTTTGAGGTGAACTATTCATTTCAATTTTGAAAGTCTTCCATAGAATCCTGTAGCTAATACTAAGGTCATGGGTTCAATTCCCAGGGAATGTATGAAATGGTAAAATATGTGTTTTGAATGCAATTTGAATTGCTTTGTTTGGATAAAAACTACCAAATGCATAAATATACACTACCATTCAAAAAGTTGTGTATATATATGAAGAGTTTATTCGCAAAAACTTGGTCAGAGTCTTCTTTCAGAAACATTTTCAAAAATTTTGCTGACCCCAAACTTTTGAACAGTAGTGTATATTTAAAGTCTAGTGGCTGGATATATATATTTTTTGAAATACTTCTGAATTGATTAACGTCATATGTTATAAAATCATTTGCATTAAATTCGGTGACTTTTATATACTCTGTTTTTGTACAGCTCATTCGCAAGGACGGAGAGTTTCACTCTTCAAGGCTCTTGGATGAAAAAGACATGCGAGCCAGCCAGAACATGCAGCCAAAGAAGAAGAACAGGAAGTCTGGACTTCCCACCAAAATGAGAGAAAAACCCCAGGCATGCGTTCAGTCTGTCTGCAGTATTGCTCTGTGATTTTGCCTGTTTATCACATTTACACACTTCACTCGTATTCTGACCAAATGCTCTTTTCTTTTGTATGTGACGTGAAGGTGGAGATTCCTGACGTTAATGACGATAACTCACTCAGCTCTCAAGTGCAGAAGAATTTCATATGTGAGCACTGCTACAGTGCTTTCCGCAGTAGCTACCACCTCAAACGGCACATTCTCACCCATACGGGTACGCCATAAGCCTTTCTGCTCACACGTCATCTTACGATTCATACAAAGAGATGCATGAAGTAAATATGTCTACATCTGTGTGTGTTTTAGGGGAAAAGCCATTCGGGTGTGATATGTGTGACATGAGGTTTATTCAGCGCTACCACCTGGAAAGACATAAGCGTGTTCACAGCGGTGAGAAGCCTTATCAGTGTGACCGCTGCCAACAGGTGAGACATGACAAACATGGGCAGTTGTATTCACAGGGACCTTGCTCTTTGCCCATTACGTGCATAAATGTATGTCTTTATGATAGTATTACAGTACTTTTTAGAGTCTGACAACATAACAGGGGCTTTATATGTTTGTGATATGACAAATTCACAAAAAGTGAAACAGGATATGTAAGGAGCAAAAGCTTCATTGTATCCATCAGGAATCAGTTTCATCATTAAAAATGGTTATTTTGTTAGAATGAAGTGAAGTAGTTGAAGGGGAGGAGTTGAAAAATAAGAGCTTGGTGATGCTAGCTAAAGAATCAGGAAAGTTAAAGGGGTCATATGATGCGATTTCAATTTTTCCTTTCTCTTTGGAGTGTTACAAGCTCTTGGTGCATAAAGAAGATCTGTAAAGTTGCAAAGACTAAAGTCTCAAATCCAAAGAGATATTCTTTATAAAAGTTAAGAGTCAGCCACGCCTACCTAAAACGGCTCGTTCTAACACGCCCCCACATATGAGCTTTGTAAAAATCGACGCGTTTCAGAAAGGCGGGGCATAGAGGAGAAACAATAATGTACAGGAAAGTAATGTGTTTTTTGAACCTTAAACCGCATAAACACATTTCATTACAGCAAATACACAAAATAATGTTTTTTTAGCAGCATCATATGACCCCTTTAAGAGTTAAAATAGTTAAAACAATATCTTAAAACTGTCCATCATCTAAATATTAAAATATTTTTTTATTTTGAATAACTGACTATAACACTGATTACTAATAAATTGTGCACAATAAGACTAGAAATGTGTATTAAGAAAGTAACTATGGTAAGTTTTGCTTTCATGTTGACATTTCATGTTGATTTTGCTTTTATCATTGTGATAGCAGATTATTAACCAAATCTTAATGCATATACTTTTATGAGTGCGTATGCCTGAATTATGCCAGAAAACTTGATATAATATTGTTTTCAAGCTGGTAGAGGACAATTTAGCTGGCAAAAATCATGATCTGAGTCTGATTTGGTCTGCAAGATTAAAAAAAAGGAAGAAATATAATACGTTTTATTCAACAAGTATGCACTAATTTGATCAGAACTGACAGTAAAAACATTTATAATATTACCAAAAAAAATTATTTCGAATAAATGATTCTTTGATGAATGATTTCTATTCATCAAAGAATCCTGGAAAAAAAGGATCAGTTTCCACAAAAATATTAAGCCGTTTTTCTAAACATTGATAATAAGAAATGTTTCTTGAGCACCAAAACAGCATATCAGAATGATTTCTGAAGGGTCATGTGACACTGACTGAAGTAATGGCTGCTGAAAATATAGCTTTACCATCACAGGAATAAATTACATTTTTAAATAATTAATATTCAAATAGAAAACAGTGATTGCAAATTGTAGTTATATTTCACAGTACTACTGTTGAACTGTATTTCTGATCAAATAAATGCAGCCTTGAACATTAACATTAATAATGGTGCATTTTTACATCAAATACACAATGTAATTCATATACTCGAAAACATAGTGATTACCAAACAATAAAACCATAGTTTCAACAAAACGCTTTAAATGGCATGCAGGGGCTTTTGGGAAATTGATTCACTGATTCACTGGGAATCAGTGAATCAGTTCATTTAAAGCATGTCCAAAAGAACCAATTCATTTAAACCGCATGTCTTCTCTTGTGAAAAAAAAAAAATAAAAAAAAAGAGGCTAACTCAGTCTTCTATCACACAGAACTTTTCCAGAACTGACCGGTTACTTAGAAGTCATTCAAATATGCTGATTTGCTGCTAATGAAACATTTATTATTATTATCAATGTTGAATACAGTTGTGGTAAATGTGCTTAATATTTTTGTGGAAATGGTGATACTTTTTTTTCAGAATTCTTTAATGAATTGATAGTTCAAGAGAACATTTATTTGAAATCGAAATCTTTTGTGACATTTTAATGTCACTTTGAATCAATTTAATGTTTTCATTATTAAACGTTTTAATTTATTTACAAGTTACAACTAATTTTGAACTTAAACATGGCCGTCATGGCAAAGAAAATGTGATATATAAATGTCTGATATATAATTACTTTTTTTAAATATATTTTTTGATTATGTCATAGAAATTACCACTTTTATACATTTTTCTGACTTTTTAGTAGTTTTTTTAATGGAAGATACAAAAACAAGTGAGTTAGAACAAAATACAGCCTTACTTGGAACTGATGAAGATTAATTAACCAGCTTGACTTTTTTTTTTTTTTGCCATGTGTTCACAAAAAGAATGACTGTCACCGATTGCTGATGGCAGACCGGGGAATTCACAACACATTCTTTGGCCTACTTTTCTGTCCAAATAGTTCATGCATATTCATGTGGAAATTTCACTTTTATGTGCAACGGCACAATTAGTTTCCTTTCAGCACTTTTGCAGCCCTCACACAGAGCAAACAGGAAGTTGAGAAATGATAAATGATACCCTCATGTTATTCTCTGACTGCTTTTGGGTTTAATGAAGGGAAAGAAATCACACAGATATGGCATCTCTTGTGTTTTCTGCTTTATCAACATCAGAATGCCATCAAAAGCTGCCATGAGGGGCCACAGTTTAGCATTAGTTAGGATCTAACCAGGTTACACCACAGTTGGAAATTTTATATATATATAATTTCATATAACTGTGATTGAACCTGTTATCACCGCCATTCAAAAGTTTGGGATAAGAGCGTTTTTTAAACATTTTTTTAGTAAGGATGCATTCAACTGATTTAAGTGACAGTAAGGACATTTATAATGTAACAAAATATTTCAATTTTAAATTATTTTATTTTAAATTTAAACAAATGCTGTTCTTTTTAACTGTCTATAAACCAAAGAATCCTGAAAATAATGTCTCATGGTTTCCACAAAAATATTAACCGTTTTTCAACATTTATAATAATATTAAACGTATTATTAAACGCAGCAAATCAGCATATTAAAATGATTTCTGAAGGATCATGTGACACTGAAGACTGGAGTAATGATGCTGAAAATTCAGCTTTGCATCACAGGAGTAAATTACATTTTAAAATATATTAAAGTGGATATTTTAAATTGTAATATTATTTCTTTTTACTGTAATGTTATTTTATATTATTGTATTGTAATATTATTTTATTATTGTTATGACTATGTTTTGGATCAAATAAATGCAGCCTTGGTGAGCATAAGAGACTTCTTTCAAAAATATAACTGTCTACAAACTTTTGAAAAGTAACTAATGACTAACTAATTAAATAAGTCATTGATTGTGACAAAATGCAAGACCTATTAATGAAAAATGCTTAATCATCATGACCATGCTGCTAATTAAAACAATACATGTGCAAAACTGCATCCATTTCCTCTTGACATTGCTGTTGTGTTTGAAGATTCCTTTGTCAAACCCCTTCAACTGTTTTATGAGGGAAACCCAAAGTGCTGGGACCGGCTCAGTTGACCAGCGCCTCATTGTCAAGATTTATCTCTCGAGAGAGTCATCCACATTCCTGATGACAGGACGAATGCCTCGGCGTCCTGCCGAGAGCGTTAAAATCACTCTCACGCCGAAGCACATTTCGCCTCGACAGATACATTAACATACACTGGCCCCACGCTACCCCATCAATCTGCACTTGTTGGGACCCACCATCGCTGCTTCGGGCCTCCCTGTGGAAGCCCACGGGCCCGACTCGGGCAGTGGTGGCCCTTTTTGAGTCAAGGGTCCGTTGATGATATAGTCTAGGCCACAGGAACCTTCCAAGGGCCTCAATGCAGGTTATGAGAACTTAACTTCAACTTCAAACATATACACTGATTTGGTGTTTTCACTCAGAAATTGCTAGTAAATTTCACAAATGTGACCCTCGACCACAAAACCAAAAAAGGGTCAGTTTTTTTTTAAAATTGAGACTTATACATCATCTGAAAGCTGAATAAATAAGCTTTCCATTGATATAGGCCACAGGAACCTTCTAAGGGCCTCAATGCAGGTTATGAGAACTTAACTTCAACTTCAAACATATACACTGATTTGGTGTTTTCACTCAGAAATTGCTAGTAAATTTCACAAATGTGACCCTCGACCACAAAACCAAAAAAGGGTCAGTTTTTTTAAAAATTGAGACTTATACATCATCTGAAAGCTGAATAAATAAGCTTTCCATTGATGTATGGTTTGTTATGGTAGGACAATATTACATAGGACAAGATACAACTATTTGAAAATATGGAATCTGAGGGTGACACACCGCCGCTGATCTTCTGTGCATCAGCCATGCGACTGATGCACAGATAAAGGGGATAGATGGACGAGGGGGAAGAGTTTAGGGAGATGAGAGTACAGATAGACAGTAGGCCAAAGTGACTTTGGCAGTGCGCTGCTATTGATCAGCTTTATGATACATTGATTTATACCAGACAGTTTCAAGTGCTTTGAAGAGATATGAGTCATATACATCCTCGCTAATCTCAGGGGCAGCAGGAGGGGGACTATGGTTAAAAGCCGTTTCTGATATGAGCAGACATCCTTATGATGCCTTAAGACTAAAGCCGTACGGTCATGCGACGCGAATATCTGTGAGGAATAATGGTGGATGGGGAAATAAATGGCCGGGGAGCTGCTTTTGATAATTTCAAGGAAATTTTAAGGGATAACGCGACGCATTCTCATCTTTCAAAGGAGTACGAGTTTGCGGGCAAGGCACACCCTCGCGCAAATACACACACGTAGATGTGCACGCAGATAAAGAGATCGAGTGAAGATTTATGTGACAGTGAACTAATTGCAGGCTGCTATTTGTCTTTAGGAACTGACACCTGATCCTTTCTCATGGTTTTTAACAATTATATCAGAAGAAATATACTTTCACCATTATATATGGAATTATAAGCAAGTTAAAGCTTGAGTACAAAAAAGGGCTGAATTTCCTGTCGAATGTAAATGGAAAGTGTGTTGCATGAGGTTAATAACTGCAATAAAACTAATTGAAAGGACACATCTTACTACATCTAGAGAGTTAGATGATAGTGAAATGGCATCTTAAAGGGATAAAATGAAAATTCTCTCATCATTTACTGAGCCTTCATGTTATACCAAACCTGTATTCACAAAAGAAGATATTTTGAAGAACATTGGGCACAAACAACATTGGAACCCATTGACTTTTCATTCAAAAAAAAAAAAAAAAATCAAGGAAACCTTTCCCAAAACATATATTTTTCATGCTTCACAAAAGAAAGGAAGTTAAAAGAAGACAAAAGACATTTTGAAGAACAATGAGGTCTAAGTTACATTGGAGCCCATTGACTTTCATCGCATGAGACATTTCTCAAAACAATTTTTATTTGTGCTTCACAAGTTAAAACAAGACAAAAGAAGGTATTTTAAAGAACACTGGAGTCCATTGACTTTTATTGCATTAGCAACAACAAAAAATACACTTTTTTTGTGCTTCACAGAAAAAAAGTCATTTATAAAGGTTTGGAACGACATGAGGGTGAATTTTCATTTTTGGGTGAACTATCCCTTTAAGCTGTTAACCGCACATGTTCATTTTTTATGGTGTATTGAGTGAATTGTCTTGGAGTTTAATGGGAATCACTGTGAATGTTGTTTCAGAAGAGGTAAAGGAAGTTGAAACATGTCGAGAGGTCGTTCATTGCCAGTTTTGATAGTAAAAGAACCTCATGGAAACAATATGTTGCAGTGCAGAAGCCAATTTAAACATGTAAGATGTGTTTACTGCTTCTTCAGCAGTATTATTTCAATCCAGTATAATTTAACACTGTGTAATGTGCATTGGATGTGTTTGGTAAAGCATCACTATTGCTCATACTTGCATGTTTTACTTCACTGTGCAAATTATTCAGCATTTGCATTTATGCATTTGGCAGATGCTTTTATCCAAAGCAAGTTATGCTGCATTTAAGCTATGCATTTTTTTTTCCAATTCATGCATTCCACAGGAATCAAACCCATGACCTTGATATTGATAATGTCATGCTCTTCAGGAAGGCACTATTCGTAATGCCTCAAATAATGTGGCTTGTTGAGGAGAGGTGTGCTTTTATATTTCTAATGGACCAGGCATATAAAATGTGCCTGGTGAAAGATAAACTGTTGAAAAATCAACTACCACCTAAAACAATGTTGAGAAACCCTTCAAAGTAATAGATATCTTGAAAATTATTACTCTGTCATCATTTACTTACCCGTATGACTTTCTTTATTCTGTGGAACGCAAAAGAAAATATTTTTAATAATGTTTCAACTGTTTTTGTCAAAACAATGAATGTCAATGGGGTCCCCATTGACTTCCATTGTATTGACTAAAATACAGTAAGACATATCATCTTATTGAAATATATTCTTTTGTGTTCCACAAAATAATGACAGAATTTTCATCACTTAATACACTTTGAAACTACATAGCAACGCCCTGGAAACCACCCTAGCATCGTAGAGGTAAAATATTTTCTTCAAAAAAAAAAAATACTAAAGTTGTAGTTTACTGCCATAATTATGCAAAACAGGAAAAATTGAGAATGCAACTTTTTGACTAAATGCCTCATTTATCAGAAAATCACACTGTGAGGATTTAACCATGAGAATAACCACAAATTTATCGTAACCAAACATCAGCCCAAAAGAAATGGGATACGGCGGTGACAGTCGTGTTTACATTTCTGATGTGTGTTGATTGAGATGAATCGACTAGTCAGATTGTCCGCATTTTTGCCTCGCATATGAGATGTTTTCTTTGAGTGTCTGGTGTTGAAACAGGATATTATTTTGGAGTTGGAGAGTTGGATGTGAACACATTCCACAAAGAAACTGCAGCAGGCCTGTGTGAGTGAAAATGACTGCAGCTACAAATCATTCGCTCTCTCTCTCTCTCTCTCTCTCTTTCTCTTTCTCTTTCTCTCCTCCTCTTGCTCTCATGACGTCAGGAATGTCGAGCACTCCCTGCTCCTTCCCTTGGGGAGAGGGTTTTACGATTGAAACCTGACACTGTTTCTGTGTCCCATAAGCAACAGAGCGGTAACTCACATCAAAGACAGCCAGCGTCGAATCACAGCACGGCCATAAATTTGCCTGTCGCTCATGGACCAATCAGAAACGAGCATTAAATCAACTCTGTCACGCTGGCAGCCAATGGTGGGATGGTGGCGGTAAATCTGTCAGGCTAGCGTCTGTTAACGGGTGCTGTGGTGCAGATGGGGAATCCACTAGGGTGAGGGGGGAAAGAAAGTATACATGAGAGTGAGAGAGATGGAAAGATGGAAGAAGGGAGGGGAAAAGCTGAGCACTTAGCGCTAAAGCATGCACAAATTTTGCTTTGGTTACCCAAAGATTAATTCCTGAAACCCATAATGGCCAAAAATCAAAGTGTTTTGTAAGCGGTAAGCTGTGAAAACTCAAGTGGAACAAGACCAAACACGACCACAAGAGAAAGACGCGAACGAAAGCGCGAAACAAAAACGTCATAAAGCTTAATTGCTACCAATGCTGTGTGACATTGAGTGTCTACAACAAAAGTGAATTACGGCCGCGTCTCACTCTACAATTACATCACTATCTTAATCACAGCCTCTGTCATGATTATTTCAGTTCACGACACTCATTATACACATTCGGCCCATTTGAAATGGCTTGTCAAGTGCAAACCTCAAACGCTTCTTTATACGATATGACATAAAAATGAGAGCGAAACATGTCGGAGTGTGTGGAACAATGACCTGTGGGCCTTTTCACGTTGCTGCAAGGGTGCAGACCAGATGTTCTCACACACATGGACGTGAGCGGCTCAAAGAGCCAGTTTGTGTGCAAACGCATGTGCGTGTGCAGATGTAACCAGGACGGACTCTTCTGGGATTTGAGTCTCGTTCTAAATCACAGGGAAGGGAAAGAAGGGCCTCCTCTCTTAAAATGTCAACAGGCTGCAGCTTATACGCCGCAAACATCTCCAGCTCAGATCGACGGCCCCCGTTTTCAACGGCGGACCACGTCCAAATTCAGTGACTAATGGCGCAGGCGAATCGAAAATAGAAATGTCTAAACAGGCTTGTGGACATATCCAACTGCCTGGCTGATAAATGTAGCGTGCCTTCGCTTGAATTTATGTGTTTTTAAACTCTCCGTCATGTGATATGAAAATAGGGTGTACTCTTACCCGCCGATCCAGCCAGAGGAATAACATCAGCCTTTCCGAATGGCACGTTTGAAACGCTTAATGTGCTCTTGAATAAATATTGTGCAGTTATGAAATGAATACGAACAGGATTGGACTTTTAATGCACGGGATACCAGATTTATCTGAAGGATTTTTCACGTATCTGCAAAATTGACAGCTTCTGATGATTTCAAGAGACAGATAACTTACAGCAAAGAAGATGTTATTTTTACACCACATAGAATAGCTTGTTGAAATACTACTGGATCAGCAAAAGCTGTGGCATTGCTGTTGATTTTGGCCGTCTCTGCCTCCAAGGTGAAATGATTTTCTATTCGACGGGAATCCATAAACAGGCCCTGTGAGGGCGAGAGGCGCCATAAAACACATCAGGCCGTATGGGGGCGTTTCCGTTAGCGAACGCTTGAGCCTGGGGAGCGTGGCGATGGCGAGCACGCAGCGCTCTTATCTAGGCCTGGTTGCGAATACATTCGTGCATTACCCGTCCTCTATTCCCAGTCATTTTCTATGGCCTTTTGATGAATTTGGCCTGTCTAAATTTGCCTGTTCCGAGAGCACGCCATAATTTACCTACATTTATCGCTGGCGAGCTGTTTGCTCAGCTTCGGCCCTGAGCTGCATGCATGATTAATACGAAACACTGACGCTTTTGTGTCGCCCTCCCCTTCACCTGAAAATAGAAAATGACTCTGATTGCAATAAGCGTGCAGATTTTCATGAAAAAGCGCGAGTCTGGAATACTCATTCGGTGACATGCAGACTGTAAGCTTGCAGATGATGATAATTTATCGACTGCTGCACCCGTTCGCTACAACACACACACAAACAGCATCTATCAATTACAGGCCTTTAGTCCACATGCCTCTGACAATTTTACTGCGTGTTTTGTACAGCGTGTCAAGCCGTGCTGTTTCAGTCTATTATGCTCATTCCTCTATAATTAATATAAATTACCTTTTTGCCTTTTTACAGCCATGCCACTGTAATTAGTCGATGAAAGGCATTCATCGGTTGCCCTGCTGGAATATCCAGATGAAAGGCTGCATGAGCGTCAGGCATGTTAGTGGGGCGTAGACGGAAAATGGGGGTCAAATTTGACCTAATTTCTGCCTTGCTGGGATCATACAGAAGTCTTATCTCAACACCTGCCCTTTTGCTATCTATGCAGATACATCTATCATCTTTCGTAACCTTGACTTACCTCTCATATTCCACAAAGGGTTAAGAACCTGCTATTCAAATAAGCTGCATCAATATAGTGATTGCTTCAGGTCATAAACAGGACCATCTGAGGGAACATATTGTTCCTGGGGGCAATGCACTTTTTTTCAGGTGTATTAGCATATGGTCAAGGTACATGTCATTTCTGCACTAAAAATAATTACTGTTGCAAACAGGTCTCTCATCGCCCAGATAATCATAAAGTGGCCTCAAAGAGTATTTGAACTCTTTTGAATCTTAAAACAGACTGAATTTTATGTCTGAATTTCAAATTGTCTGAATTTCATAGAATAGATGAAATAATAATAATCAAAATGACATGTGGCAACTGTAAATATATATAATAGATTTTGTGTTTGCAAGCAACATAAAAATTGCGAACCGCAAACCGGTTCTCACTCGTTAATTTTTCTGCAGAAAGAGACTAAATAATGCACAAAACATCTAAAAGACGTTAGCTTGAAACACATCATGCAGTGTAGTCTGATTTCTAATTCCGAAGGAATGACTCTTATGTGCCAGCTCTTTATTAGTGAATCAAAAACATTCACCGTGACCAGTGTAGCCTGACACCAGAAGAATAACTCTAATGAGCTGGTTCTTTTACCGAATCAGAAACATTCAGCGAAGCCAGTGTATAGTCCAACTCCTAAAACAATAACTCATATGTGCCAGTTATTTTTAGTGAATCAAAAACATACAGCACGATCAGTGTAGTCCAATTCCGGATTAACTGACTCTTTTGAGACGCTTTTTTTTTTTTGGTGAATCAAAAACATACAAGGCAACCAGTTTAGTCTGATTCCAGAATGAAGGGATCTTATGGGCTAATTGTTTTGGTGAATCAAAAAAATACAGCGCAACTACTTTAGTCAAATTCCCAAATGAATTACTCTGAAAGATTATTATGACTTTTATCAGTATGAAATATGTTGCCGCATTGTGTGTCATTAATGTATCTCTTAAGAATTCTGTGTGGGCCCACCTTTGCAATAATTGCTTTTATTATTATTATTATCTGCTAAATGGAATTGCATTTGCCATTGAAATGCAGAATGCTAATGGATAGCTTTTTCCAGGTATTTCAGGCCTCCTCAGCTCAAACAAACAGAGCAATGTTTTTACAGCACCACAGAGTTGCAGCGTTTGCCCTTTTCGGGAAATTCAGCACACCACTGGCTTACTTATAGCTGTCTCTGCTCAAAAAAGGCACACTTTACCTTTAAAGTTAGTTTACTATTAACACAAAGACCCTTGTACCTGTCCTTTCAAGCAGCGCACACAGACTCTTGATTACCCTTTGCTCTTTTTCCTTTATTGCGGGTGATAATATCTTTAAAACCTTGTTCCACTGTCCCACAGCACTTTCCTTTATTCAATGGGAGCATGTTGTACACTTCATAACACACAGATGAGCGAGACGCTGAGGTTTTATCTGCAACTCTTACCCATCCGCTAATGAATCATAATGAATGACCTCATAATGAAAGAGCTACTTAACTCAATTGGTCAAATAAATTTGGAGCTGAAGGCTCTCATGCTTTGGAGATAAGACGTCAGCGCCCGCGAGCCTCTCGGAGACGGGGTTAGGGAACTCCCTCTGGGAAGGTGGGGCGCCCAGGGGCCAACGTCATGTTTCATTCCTTAAAAAAGCACGCTTTAGGATATCAGCCGAGACAAAGGAAACTTTCCCAACTACTTTCATATGGATGCCAAAGCATTATTAAAGAGGAAGATAGAGAGGGATAGAGGGTTGAGGAGATGTGCTGGACCAGGGCCAAGGAAGTTCTCCATCTGCAGCTGTTTGTTATGGAGGCAGACTGGCCTAAACAAGTCCTGTCCTAAACCTGTCTCTCATTACAACTGCATATCTCACATGACGGTGAACTTTTGTAACCGCTGAAGATCAGTTTCCATTCCAGCTTCTGCGGTACAAATCAGGAGAATGGGTCTTAGTCAGGATAGAAGCCATATTTATTTATTTTTGTGAATGAAAACGAGGCTGTGAGAGATAGACGTATAGTACAACTATTAAAATGTGACTTTTTCAACAACAACAAAAAAGATTTTGAATCTTAAGACATCTTAAAAACCTTTTTAAAAAATCTGATATGGTGCTTGAAAGTACATTTATTCACCATTGAATTGATTTTAAATACCCATTTTCTTTTTCATATTTAGTCATCTTTTGATACCATTTCTATTACAAAATATTAGTTATTAAGTATTTGCTTGATAATCTTTTATCCTCACTTGAGTTAATCGAACGTGTTTTGTTGTTTGCCTGAAGGAATAGAATTGGTGTCTAATGTAGCACAGTTTAAAGCAGGATTATTATTATCATTAACTAAAAAATATAACTAAAACCATTAAAAACATCTTTAATACTTGAAATAAAATAATAAACCACCTGAAATAAAATAAAATGTAACAAAAAAATAAACATATTTTATTCCAGCTATTTGCCAACACAACATTTCTCTTTTTTTGTTGAAGTACTAAAATAATTCAAACTTTATAATTATCTAAAACTAAAATGTAAAACCTCATAACAGCTATATAGACATATTTAAAAAAAACTAATTCAAATGACAAAAAACACACCACCAAATTACTAAAATGAAAATGAAAACAGAAAATATAAAAATAAAATCTAATTCAAAATATTAACATAAACTATAATAGTATATTAGTAATACTAAAATATCACAGTTTTTAAGAAGTAAACTCATTTATTATGAATGTCTTTTTTTCCACTTATGATTCCATTTCTACAGAGAAACAGGCATTGAAGGCATTAAATATTTACTTGGTAATATTAAATTTGCTCTAGATGGTTTGGTGGTTGGTGGAAAGAATAAAAATGGCATCTGATGGAACAGAAAGAAGAAAAGTCATTCATTCCAAATATTTGCTTTATGTCTGGTTATGTCTAAAGCTCTCTTTAATTTGCTGTAGATCATTAGACGAGCCATTATGGTGCCGAATATGGTAACTGGTAGAAATAACCACTTAATACATATGAATTATAATAAGTTATTATAATATAATACAATCCCTATATAATTTCTGCAGGACAACTAGTACTAAAAAAAATAACACCACTGATAATTATTATACATTTCATAGATTTACTGGTTTGGGGACAGCAAGATTTTTTGGGGGAAAAGAACATTATACTATTTTAATTAAAAAGAATGCATTAAATTGATCAAAAGTGACAGTAAAAAATATTTTCCACAAAAATATTTAGCAGCACAAGTATTCTCAACACTGATAATAATGAGAAATGTTTCTTGAGCAGCAAATCAGCATATTAGAATGATTTCTGAAGGATCATGTGACACTGAAGACTGGAGTAATGATACTGAAAGTTCAGCTTTCATCACAGAAATAAATTAAATTTTAAAATATATTAAGCGTCATTTAAATAGTAATAATATTTGACAATATTACTGTATTTTTGATTAATTAAAAGTGACCTTGATGAGCATGAACCTCAAAGAGGCATCTTTTTAAAAAATAAAAATCTTCTCAAGAATCTTATCAAACCTTTGAATGGTAGTGTATAAACAGCACCATCTACAAGATCTCTGTGTAACAACATTTGA